GCACGCAAACACTGTAATCATTCACTCACCGCCATCATTGACTCTCTTTCATCAGCAGAGGCACAAGATTAGGATACAGGTTTTGAACATCACAAGGATGAGAAAATAATGACAGAATAATGTTAATTTTTGGGTCAACTGTCACTTTAAATGCCTTGCATGCAACAGCACAGAAACCAGTCTCTGCTGGGTATGTGGATAATAGATACAAAAGAAATGAAAACAGTATGATGATATCCAGTGCTAGACTCTCTAACTGAGAACTTCCTGCAGGAGATGGCACCATATGCTGCAGAGAGAAACAGGGCTTTTAATAATACATGCTGACCGAACCGCGACCAGCCCTACACATGCTGCTATCAGAGAAACATGGCAGCATCTTCCTTCCTCCAAATTACTGTCATTATTAACTGCAAAATTGCTCCATTTGTAATTACTGCCGGCGCTGTTCTGCATCTCCAGCACAAACTCTCCCACATACGGCCCAGATGGTTTGGACCGTAAAGTTTGTTATTGCTTTTGCAGAATGAAAACACCATTAATAATGTATAATGCATTTCCAAAAGTCCATATTTTATCCGTTACTTTCTCTTCTCATGGGAAGGAGATGCACTTTTAGGACCACCCACACAGCAGGCCTCTGTCTCTCAGCCCTGAGGAGGAACTCAAGTCATACTGAATCCTGAAATATCGGACATCACAGAGAAGAGGACAGGCTCCAGACTGCAGATAGAATGTTTAGAGCAGATAGAAGATAGAAAAATACATATATGTTTGTAAGCGCACTGCAGGATGTGCTTAGAGTCAGAGAGGAACCTTATGTGCAAAGTGGTCATATACTCTGAAACACTTTCTTACCACGTGCAAACTGCGGCAGTCCACAAGAGCAGTGAGCTGGTGCAGTCCGACTTCAGTGGTGTTCAAACCCCCCTGAATTTGCTCAAGGTTTCCCTAAAAAAACAGGAAGACATAAAACGATTGAAATAAAACGGTTACTCTAAATGCAATGTCTAAATAGATATTCTCATTTACATACACGTTTAAAAGTTACTTAAAAATACATTAAAACAGCAATATTGCCAACTATTATTACAATTTTAAAGGGGTCTTATGATGTGATTTCTATTTTTCCTTTTCTTTAGTGTGTTATGTAGCTATTTGTGCATGTATAAGATCTGCAGAGTTACAAAGCTCAAAGTCCCCACAAAAGGATTTATTCTATCCAAAAGAGAAGGCTGATCCAGACCGGGCTAAAACACCTCATTCAAACACGCCCACACATCTCTACTTTATTTGGTCTTCCGAAAGTAGATGCAATTAGGAATCATTGGTTAAGATTTATTTACAACAGAACAGCACAACCCAGATTTTCGAATATGTGCAACGCATTTTATGGACGACTAGAAGAGTTATTTGAACCTAGAAGAGTATAAGGCTGGCTGTGCACAAAGGCTATTTC